CTTGATTTAAATAGACAAATGTCCTCTTGCAAGTTTGCGGCTTTGCATAACAATTACTCTTGTTTCCTTCTCCTCCGATCAAATAGAAGTAATGTCCTATATGGAGCTGCACAGTTTATCTGTAAACTGATATCAACATGTGACAGTAGATAGAGTCTAAGATGTGTTTTCATCATAATACTAGCTTTAAAGATTGATTTACCTGGTCTTACAGTCTGCTTTACATTGAAGCAATATTCTATTATTTTTTAACTTTTTAGACTGAATTAATTCAGTCTAAAAATTAATTATTCATCGTGATATTTAGTCAATAACTATCTTTATGTTCAGCTTTCAACAACATGTGGGAGACGTCTGTATCAGATGGAGTTTGCTCAGTCGTAATCATTTGTATATATGAGATTATAGATGTGTCATAGTCACATAACGTAAACTTTATAACGTGTGTGTTCAACAGGAACTTCGATATTCTCTTATCTAAACTTTCCTTGTGTTTGTACTGATGCCTGCCTTCTTTCCTCACAGCGCTATAGTGTCAGATCTCTATCTGTCAGGTGATCCTGGAGATAAATGGAGTCAGTCAGATGAACTCTAATCTGACATTACTGTAAGAGAGCAGCTTTTTCATGGAAGAATCATATTCCTCTGATGGCACCTGCTAAACCAATCTTGTTGAGGAGCTCATTTGGAGCAATTTAACAACAGAAATCAAGTTCTGGCTCAAAAATACCAAGCAGCCAAACAAAGGTCGTGTTATTCTTCAGTAAAACGTATTCTCGGATGTAACGTGTGTTTGCCTCCTAAGCAGTGTACTCACCCATGTCTTTCATTTTGACATTGGTGTCGAAAAGAGATTGGCTCTTTCGACCCAAAAAATGTAACGGTCCCTTCTTCATGACTGGTTGATCAGTTCAAGTGTGGATACGACTATGATGGATCATTAACGCATTGTTTAATCGACAGGTAAATCCAAGGTAAAGCGGCAGGTGCAGCGCAGTGCTCCAGGAAAGCCTGACTTCACTGATTTGGTGCAAAGTTTTTTCAACAGAGCGACAAAATGGGACAAACCCCGCCTCCTCCCCTTTCACTGAGCCTCCCTGTTTTTTTTTTTTTTTCTAAATACACTCCCAGCAGGTGAGGCCTGCTGGGCCCTCCTTAGCAGCCACATTCCAGCGCAAATCTCACCTGCGTTTACCTGCATGACTGTTCAGCTTATATCCGAGCTATCATCATCGAAAGTACAAAGTAATGCTTTTTACCTGCTGGCAATGAACGCGTCAGCCATCTTTAGTTTATGTATCCACTATAAACGCTTCCAGGAACACATTTTCCCTACAGCATCTTGATATCTTTGAACTGATCTGTGTAAACAGGAAATAGTTTGGTTTCTTAGCTATTATGGTTATAAAACATGTAAGCCTAATAAAACAGTCTTTCTGATCATATAATTAAATAGGCCTACATATTTTCTGTACTTTGGTCTATAGTCCCTCCAAAACAAGAATGTTCAGGTGGTCAAGGTCAACTTACCTGGGTATTACTTCCTAGAAATGTTTTATTATCTTACTGTAACACAGATTCAGAGGCAAATATAGTATTTCCTATCCCACACCATTTATCAAACCTAATTTGACTGTTTCAAAACAAAACCCTTTCCATAATTAAATATTATGCATCATTTTTAAAGTTATTTTGAAAAAAAAAATTAACTGTCACAAGCTACAATATTACAAGCATGTCATGTACTTATGATAATAATTCAGTACAACACTGTTTCCTGTTTACTTTTGCTTTTCTAAGTTTTGCTACATGGTAGTTTGATGTATAGATGTTACTAAGTGTTTAAACACTGTCATTCGTTTCATGGTGTGAACAGGACTTCCATCTGGAACTGTTCCGACATAGAGATATAAAACAGACTAAATATGGAGGAGTATTTGTAATAAAAGTCCTCTGCCTGAGGGGAGGTTGTAAAAGCATTTGACAGTGGGACACAGTTTCCTCAATGGTATTATTTACCTAAGGATGAAGGAGCATGTGACCTGTGTAAGGAGGATAAATGGAAAGGTGGATGTAGTGAGCCGTGTCTAAAGAGGATCAAGAATCCTCTAAATCTCAGAGTGGACTGAGCCATAGCATCTACTCCATATCTATATGTGAACCTCACCTCCTCGCAGACCAGAGTTTTTATTTACAGATGACACACTGCTTTACACTGATGGACAGTAACAAAGTATCATGGTAGAGTATTGAGCAGTTTACTTTCCTTCTACTTAATACTCCCACTATGACATTTCTAAAGGAAACGTGTATTTTTTTAAAGGTTTATTTTTGGGCTTTTTTTATTTTATTTTTTTGTCCGCTTGAAGGACTACAGCCTCCATACATGGGGGGGGGGGGGGGGGGGATTGTCTTTAGTAATTACTCATCCTGTTCAGAAAACCAGTCAGGCTTTTTCCTTTCCTCTTGGCTACAGTCACAATGTTTCTGTCTGATTCAACGTTTATCTGTCCCACCTAAACCTCAGCCGTCCTGCAGACAACCCAGACTTGTCCATCCAGTTCCTCTGTCCTTGGTAGGAATTCATTCTGATTACTGAAGCTGCTGAAATGTGAAGTATGTGCCAGTTAGAGCCTTTAACTCTTTACCTGCTTCACAGCTAACACACTAGCTCTGCTCTATCAATGAAACCTTGAACTGTACATCATGTTTTCACATTTTCCTCGGATTAAATTCTTTCTTTTGTTTCCATGTAAATGTAGCCACACAGCAAACAGGCCAGGGCGTGTTCATTAGCAAAATCCAGGATGACTATACAACATAACATGACATCATACAGACTCCAAAGTCAAAGGAAATAAAGACTCAAATGACGACCAAAAATATTCTGGGTTTCATTTTGATGAGTTATGGCTTTAAATGGAGATGGAATGATGAAATCTGAAGAAGATTTATGCCGCAAAGGAATGCGTGTAAGACGATCACTCATCTGTCATTGTCCGATATTTTTCATTTCTGTCAGTAATTTTTCTTCAGTAGAAAAAACCCAACATAAAACAGTAAAAATAAGGTTTTTGTGTGGGCCTGTGTCTCTTTTATTGTTTTTATTTTTGTGAAGATGTCATTTATGTCTCACTATCTTTTTAAAGATAATAACATATCTCAGAAAAAAAGTTCAAACGAGTCTAAAAATGTAGAGGAATCAGGTGCTATTCAAGGAAAGGGGATAGAGGTCAAATAGCTAATAAATAAATGACTGTCCTGATAACAAACAAAGTTCAATATGAAGAAAATGCTCAACTAAAAGTCTGAGGCACTTTGATGCAGCATAAAATAATCTTTATTAAACTGCCTTTTCTTCACAATGAACTTTGTTTGTACTCAGAATAGACAATTATTTATTGGCTATAATAACATTTCATGTTGATGTGTGCTAATACATTTTCGTTATTTAGTGTTAATATTCCTTCTATTTCTCTCTGTGAGCTGCAAACATGTTTTCAAATATTTTTTTGCACACATTTTACATTTTACTGCAGATGAAAAACCGACTTTTGGTTAATGTATTGCAGTTAACTTAAGGACGAGAAAGAAAGCAAACAGATAAGCATTCAATTTCATTCAATGGTGGAAGAAGACATCTCAAACTTATAGAAACCACAATGATCATTACTGCACAATAAGTCTGTTATTTAAGAACCTGCTACATAACACTTTACCTTATACCTTTTCAGTAATTCCTCACACTGTGGCTTGTTACCGTTCTGTCTTCCAGCAGCCCCTGCAGTGGCGGCGACAGCAGATGAGGGAGCTTTAAGACGGTCTACACTCAGTGACAGCCAGTCCGGCAGTGAAACTGGGGTAAGCTGAGAGAAGACTGACGACTACAGTGACATGACTTAAGCAAAGGAGCTTTGTGGATGTTGTCAAATATTATGTGATGTTTACTGCAGAGAGCTGCAATAATAGATATCCCCTTTCAATGTGAGAGTCATAATAACAGGACAGTGCTACATGTTATTGTTGGCCCTCTTCCTTATGTATATTTGGGTTTACCTCCTTCTTCCCCAGGTGTCACTGAACTCCAGTTCATGACAATTCAGTTCAATACCAGAGGAGTGACTGACCCAAAACTTCCACTCTGCAGGACTCTCTGAGTTGCTTTAAACCACATCACTACTTTAATGCTGATTAGAAAAAACGAGTAAACTAGAGTTCTAACACAATATTTAAAACAACATCCACAAGGTAGTATTTTTGCAAACGTGTTAGCATGATGTTAGCATCAGTAAGGCTTCACAGAGCTGCTTGCATGACTCAAGACTCATAGTCATGTTTATATAAGAACAGAAGAGAGAACGCAGGGAAACATAAAGTAGGTTATTATACACAGTATATATGGTCTTGATTTTAAAAAAACCTACTATTAATGCATTTACAAATAAATGCTTAACAAGCAGGAACAAAGAGATGCAGGAAACAGCACTAATATATCCATTTATAGAAAACCTAAAATTAGTGTTTTTCTATTGAACTCTCACTTCAAAATATGTTTATTCCAAATGCTTGCTATGCTCACTCGCTGCTGAATACTTTCTTACTTTTAGAATTTAAAAAAATTGAGTATTCATTGAAAAAGTAGGGAACATTAAGACTAGTATGAAACATGTTTTGGTCATATGGTTGCATGATAACATAGTTGAGTAATAATGTATTATCTTTGCGTTGCAGAGTTTACTTTATTAGTTAAAGCTGGTGTCATCCATCACATATGACTCCTATCTCTCTTTAATTAGTTAAATCTTTGCTGGAGGCCAAAGTGGATTACAGCTCCTGAGCCTTTGACAGGCACTCAACGAGATGATTGGCTGACACATACACTGATTACTGCTGCTGACAAACTGTTTTCAGTCATGCCATGAATGGATGCTTGCTGGATTCAGCACATACTGGTTATGGTTTTTACTGGAATTTGTTTATCTCTATTTTGAAAAAGCTCTATGGGAAACAGCAATGGGTCGTCTGTGGAGGAACTACAAGCCGCCGAGAGTCACCAGTGGTACAGAAAGTTCATGACAGAATGCCCATCTGGACTTCTCACTTTTTACGAGTTCAAGCAATTCTTTGGCCTGAGGAACCTGTCAGATGTATCAAACAACTATGTCAAGACTATGTTCACAACATTTGACCTGAATGATGTAAGATGATTTGTATTTCTACAGCAGGGTAGAAACTCTTATTCTAATGTCACTACATCAGTGAAGGTGTATTTCTAAGTGTACACATCATAGTTGTTTTGTGTCTTATCTGCATGGCATTGAAAGTCACATTTTTAAATGTTTTAATCCTCTGCAAAAAAAAAGGGTAAGGATGGTCTGATCCACATTGCGATAAGTTTATTATGCAGCTAAATAGCTTTTGATATAAATATCCTTAGTCCTAATTATAATATATCTATATGTCTATAAAGGTATTTTTACTATGATTGGAAATGAGATTATAATCCCCACATTCATTAGTGAACCAGATCTGTAAAAAACATGTCTAATTAAATGTTTCTATGTACTTTTTTAAAACCAGTTACTTCAATTTTTATCTCCATCAAAGCAAAGACAATTGTTCAGATTTGGTCTAAATTTCCCAAGCTGTGCCTGTAGTTTCTTCATTGTGTGTTTGTGTTTTTTTCTTGAGAGGATATAGTCCACGTTATTTCTGCTAATAGAGATCTGTTTGCGAGTAACTTATTCTATTAGTGAGGGGGCTTATCCCTCAGACACTGCTTACCCAGCTGACCCACAACCTGAAAAAAGACACGTCCGACCACTTTTTACACACACAGTGAAGCAGATTCACTCACTGGAAATCAATCTTCTTCTTGTGACTGTATTATTTTATAATGTCTTAATTCCATGATTCACCTGTTTTCAGCATGAGTTTCAGTGATGCAGGAATTCGTCTTGAATGAATGACAATGCCTCTTTTTCTGCAGGATGGCTTCATTGATTTCATGGAGTATGTAGCCGCTCTGAGCCTGGTGCTGAAAGGAGGCGTGCAGAAGAAGCTCCGCTGGTACTTCAAACTGTATGATATAGATGGGAGTGGATGCATTGACCGTGATGAGCTGCTTCTCATCATTAAGGTGTGTAGGTCCTCCTCATGTCCCGTTAAACTCCACTTAGAGCTTAGTGACTAACACTGTCCTGGACCTGCTAAGTAAGCCCACTTATGTCTGACTGAAATACAGAAACCCCCACCTCAGGCTACGAGGAGGGCTGTGGTTATGCAAGGCGTTGATTGTTGAAACTTAGCTGACCCCTACTGGCAGGATAAGATAGAGCAACAACTTACACATAAATACAACTTTTTCATTCCTTTTTGTTTTGTGTCATGTTCAGTCAATCCGTGCAATCAGTGGAATCCCCAATGAGATGTCAGCGGAGGATTTTACCAACATGGTTTTTGACAAGATCGACATCAATGGAGATGGTAAGAGTTCAGGAAGAGAAGAGGGGATGTGGCATAGGTAGGGGGAAACTTAAAGGAGATTAAGAATCAAAGAGCGATCAAAAGTTGAATTCAGCGTGTTTGTGTGTTTTCCAGGTGAACTTTCCTATGAAGAGTTCATGGAAGGGGTCCAGCAGGACGAGATGCTGCTGAGGACTCTGACAGAGAGTTTGGACCTCTCACATATCGTCCAAAAAATTCAAGGAGAGATAAGAGGAAACAAATAATAATTCCCATCCTAATGGACCTTGAAGTATATTAAACTGTGCCACAGCTGAAGGATTGGATGTGGGTTGAGGATGAGCCACAAATCAACATCAGGACAAAGGGATGTGCAGTAGTCTGTGGCTCATAGAAAAGTACAGCAAAATCGAACTGTTCATTGTTTTTATACTACGAGCAAACAAGACTTTCTCTCTTCCTCAAATACTGAAGTATGTACTGCATTTTATTTTCTTACTGTATCCGTGTTCATCTTCTGTTGCTGAAATGAAAGACCTCATTATTTATGTCTATTGTACATACATTAAGTGCCTTAATTTGCATGCTATTTGACTATTCTATAGTATTTTATATGCTGTACAGTAGCCTGGCCCAATGAAAATTATATATCTTTTGCTTGCCTCTGCAGCAAAAGATTTTTATACTAACAGATTCAATGCAGCTCAAACTGGGGCTGCTTTACACTGTGAAGGGTCCCAGTCTCATTTGGCAGACACTTTTGTCCAACGTAATGTATACATCTGAAGTGAAGTGGGTGTTCATGTCTTCAGCTTTACTGATTATAAGCTGGAATTAATATTTTGGAATAAACTCTAACAAAAACTTTACCAAAATCATGTAAGTTTCTTATTTAGTAAGCTGATTCCAGCTTCATCAGAAGTCTTCCTTCAGGACTGCACAGGGACAACATCATGAAGTAGATGTTTGGATTTTCCATTAAGTTGCCCTTCAATTCTTTTGTGCATAAAAACAAGCAGGTTATTTGAAAAATGTAAATGCGCATTTCTGCAAATCTGACGAGTGCTTTCAAATATTGTGCCGATCTTACTCCACAACATTAGACAGCACATGGTGCGACATTTTCCCAAGAGCTACACGTTGTAAGGATCCCGTCATGATCTGTTGGTTAAAGCATGAAACTACTATGAAACCTTTTACATCATAACAGGTCATAGCTTTGATGCTGACAATATGGGACTTTTTCTTTTCATCTTCAATTTTTTAAGTTGACTGAAGCCTGAGTGCCCATTTTACCAAAAGAAGATAAAACACTAGTGTCAGAAACAAAACTAACTTTGTGTAATAAGAAGATGAATTTTGTTGGTTCCCTTTGATCATCATGTGACCCCTTAAAAGTCATGGTCTCACCTCCAGCCCTCAGATCCTTTCTGATGCTAAAAGAAGCTGGCAGCTTAAAGAATTTACTTGGACCCAAAACAATGCAACACACCCATGAACACTTTAGACCCGTACAGCCATCGATCCTAATCTGAAAATGCAAAAGGCATAGTTAGCATTTCTCACACATGGCATAGATGGCAACAGGCTCATTATGTTTACTATACTGAAACCAAGAAAAGCAAAGGCAACGCTCCTCAAAGCAGACACACTCTCTGAAAACATGAGTAGTTTCAGGGAGTGGTTTGTTGTTGTCATCCTGTTTGGGCGACTATTAGCGATCGGATCATCGTTATTATTATGAGTGTACTAGTCTTGTGCCACTTCAAAGAAAATAATTTGTTCCCTTCTTCTGGAAACTCCCAGTTGATGTATGAGACACATGGTCTACAATAGGAGGGGAGGGGTTTCCAGTCCTAAATTAAAGAATCCCTTAAAAGTATACAGTAGTCCTATCAATTTTTACAAACAACAAGAATAAAGAATGCAGGGTGCAAAATGTTTTATTTTTGTTAGCCTATTTTAATAAAGGGCAAATCTTCAAAGCCGTCTTGTAAAATGATGATTAGTTATTTCAGTTTAGGCCTAAATAAATAAATAAAATGTATTTCTATGTGTGCTGTAAAATAAATATCAGCCTGGATGACATTAGATTAAATCGATGTGCTGTCAGTATTAATAAACAAAGCACAATAAACATGTTTCAGGCTATAGCAACAATTCAACAAAGGCCACATATGCAGGTCAAAGGTTATAATGATTTCATATGAGTTATGGTTCATAATGATTTCTGTGTCAGACTCATGAGATACAGGTCAGCTCTCAACAATCCTGAAAAAAGAAGGGGACCTGCCCACGTGCTCTTTGCAAAGCTGTCCTCCAGCTGCTCAGAAAAGGTGTGTCACCGGCGTGACGTCACGTTGTACCTGAGTTTCGGTGAGGAGAGGGGGGGAAGAGCCCAGTCGAGGGAACAACATCAGCTCCAAAGACAAATCCGACAGTAACATTTGTCCGTTTGTTTTGCTCACACGCCGCTCTCAGAGTTCATAAATCGGCGAAGGTTGGTCGGACAAAGTTTGCAGTAGTGCTTTGGCGGGTTTTTTAGAGGAAACAGACGGGTTTTATTCCCAGCTGTTAGTCAGCAGGTCGACGAGGAAAAGACCAGTCCTACTTCCTGGTCCTCCGCAGGTATGTTTCTCGTAATTGATTAAGTATGATGTTTGCTTGGTTAGTTTGAGTTATCGGGTTTTGTAGCCTACTTCAAGTATCGCATTTGAACAGTCCATTTGGTGTTCTTACATAAGCTACACGGCATGTTCTGTAAGCTATAAGATAAACAAACAAGTGAAAGACAAAGTCAAGGTGTGGACATGTTTGGAAAATCCGGACGTGCAGGATTTAGGAGAACACGGCAGCAGCAGCTTTTGTTTGTCTCGGAGTCGTGAGGAAAAGTTTGTGGCAGTTGAAATGATTCAGAGTTCTTAATGGGATGCGGACTGACTGGTTTGTGTTTTTTCCTTCAGTCGGGATGTCTGTCACCCCTCGACGTGTCCGGCTGAAGCCCTGGCTGGTGGCTCAGGTGGACAGCGCGAGATACCCGGGTCTGGTGTGGATTGACCGCGAGGCCATGCGCTTCAGGATCCCGTGGAAACACGCGACGAGACACACCCCACAGCACGAAGACGAAGACACCATCTTTAAGGTGAGCACTCTACCTCACAGAGAACAACATATTACAGACTGTGAGTTTCTTACCTTGAGAATTAATTTGCAAATCATTGCTGTGCTGCACAGGTCAGAATGTTGGCCCCATATGTGTTTGCAGAGACTTGTATGAGGCCCCTCTGGTTTCTAGAATTCAGAAAGTTTGGTCCAAACCATTGGGTTACATTTACTCTTAAAGCTTCAAGAGGAACTAAAGGGGTAATAATGGATTTGAAGTGTCTAAAAATGTAAATTCTGGTTGGCGTTTTTTGTTTTGGATTTTGAAAATTAAAAAATAAAATCAGAGAATCGATAAAGACCAAGTACTTTGAGTTTTCTTTTGTATCTTTCATCACAAGAAGTACACTGATTTACACAAGCCTTTGGGCAGCCCAGACATGCATTCTGGACTTCATGACCTCGTCTCTTTGCACATCTAAATGTGACTATAACATAGCATTTTATTTTCTTGGACAATTATTGACAGATGTTCTACAAAAGTAAATTTAGAAAGAAAAATCAAATAGAAATTTGGGATTTTGTGAAGAAAAAAAGCTCAAGCAGGACTGTGACATTGATACCTGCGTTTTGTTAAAATGTTCCTCCAGGCATGGGCTGTGGAGACCGGGAAGTTCCAGGAGGGGGTTGATGAACCCGATCCAGCCAAGTGGAAAGCTCAGCTACGATGTGCACTGAACAAAAGCCGAGAATTCAACCTGGTCTATGATGGCACCAAAGAGGTTCCCATGAATCCTCTGAAGATATATGATGTCTGCGACATCCCACAGCCGCTCAGCAACCAAGGTGATTAGAGCTGCTTACATGTGATGGACTTCATTTATTCAGATTTACAGTTCTGAAACTTTCTTTTTTTTCAACAGGCTCTTCAGACGCTGGTTCTTGGACCCCACATGATGAAGATGGTGGTGAGGAGGATGTTCCAGATACACCAGAGTCCCTCCCACCATACCCATCAAATGGTAAATGACTCCTCATACGTTCATCATATTTACATGTTCAGTTACTGTGTGTTCTTTAACACAATAATCTCCTCTTCTTTTTTTTTTCCACGTTTAGGCACCAGTCCTTCTCCTCTCATTATGTGGTCTCCTATGGGCTCAGAGTCCTCCATGCAGCCCCCCAGCTGTTCCCCTTCAAACCAAGGCTGGACCAAAGAGGAGCCTGTCAAAATCTGGCCTAAGGAGGAGCCTGGCAAAATTTGGCCTAAAGAAGAACCAAGGAAAATCTGGCCGAAAGAAGAGCCTGCAGATGTGGAGATGGAACCCACCCCCCTCAACGACATGCCCCCTACCCCTCTGCCCGATCACTCCATGCAGCCCCCTCCTCTGCCTGATGCCCTGTTTGCCTCTCCTGAAACCTGGATAAGTTCTCTCCCAAGTAAGTTACACTTCTTCTGCTTCTGTTGAAGTGACTGCCCCACACATCAACCAAGATACATTTATATCGTGTCAAGTGATAACAACAGTTCCCTTATACAGCAGCATACAGCATTTCACCTTTTAAATGACTATTTACAGTGACAGAACATTCATCCACCAATGAGCCAGCAATTGGTAACAGCAGCATGGAAAACTTCCTTTTGACCGGCAGAAACCTCAAGCAGAAATAGAGTCATAGGTCTTCAGCCATTTGGCATTAAACGTATTGATTGAGTAAGAGAGAGAGAGAGACAAACAGACAGTTATCGAGACTTCTAAAGAGCAACTACAGTAACACGTTTTTAAGACTATTGCTATGCCAGTTGTAAGAGCCAATATGCAAATTATTGATTAATACTAAATATCTAGTTAAAAATGATTAAAATCTAATAACAGTAATTTCATGTAAATTCATAACGTTTAAAATTGTTTTAAAGGCATAATTTAGTCATTTATAAATGATAAAAAGGTTATTGTTGATGTTTTTGGATGTTTATGTTATGACAGCACTGCGTAGTTAAAGTTGTGACGGATGTGACGTAAGCAGTTTGGAGTCCAATATTGATGGAAGCTACACAGTTTTTTGACCGTGCGTTAGACCGTTTGTTAAACCTGTATTTTATTTTAAAGTTTTTTCAGTAAACCTTTTAAAACGAAGGAAAGCTGTCCTGTCTTTTCGCTCG